ATATATTCTATTTGTTAACGCTTCATTGTGTGATATATTTTTAAGGCTAATTATATTAACTATTAGTCTATTATATAATTTAAATTGATTTATGATTATATAAAAAGGCAATATGAGCAAATCTGATAAAGTATTAACCCTAAGTATTTGGATTGGCATGTCAAATTAAATGGGTTACCAAGCATTTTGACAGATAAGATTCATTCTAACTTATACAAAAATATAAAAAAAAAACTGGATATGAGTCATAGCAATTATTAGAAGTACATGCATCAGAAGCTAGTCTTCTCATATATTCAAAATCAGAAAACAAAGTATCCTATTTATCTTCTTCTGAAGAAAAAGTGTCTATAACTTTTAAAGTTAGACCTAATTCAGAATTAATTATTAAATCTGTTTTAAAGCATTTTCTATACTTGAAATTTAAAAATAGTTTTAAAAGGATTGATAATTATGATTTTACATTACTTTAGCCATGGAGCTCATCATACTCTATTTGCAATGGAAAATATAAAAATTATGAATTATATGGCTCATAATACTGCAAAAATAGGAATCAATTTCCTTATGATTCTGAATTAGTGAAATTATATTCCTAAGATAAGTTAAAATATTGTCTTACCTACAATACTTCAAGTAATAAATTCAAGTTTGCAATTGTAGCATAGATGAAATTGATCATCTAAAATGTATAATATGATATCAGAAAAATTATTACTGAAAAATAGAGCTATATAATATGCAAATCACATATATATTCAAAAAATTTTTTTCCTTTCCTGAGGTAAATAACTCGTAAATATGAACATTGCAACTATGTAAATAAGCAAATATAATGGGCATACTCACTACATATCTCAGTGTAAAAAAGTGCTAGTAAAATATAAGTGAAGAATAAATCACTACGAGATGACTACCGCTGAAATAAAATCAACCTTCTAATAAGCATAAGTGAAATTCTGTTAGAAATATCAATAGTAGAGGTATCAGAGACATCATGCAAGTCTAATCATTTTCATTATGTAGGCGATTGGAATAAGATTGTGAAAATGCTAAAGATACTCATCAACAACATTGCTATTAGTTACCCCGGTAATTTTGGGATGTTAAGGAAAATAAAATTTCTTTGCATCCAAATTTATGGTAAGATTTATGGTATATAATTAGCTGAACTGATATATAATTAATTCTTTTTCTCTCATAGACAATACATTTTATGTCTACTCAATGAGCATGCCATTTATAGCAACATATTATTACAAGTTTGAGTATACATTCACATGCCTGAAAACAATGCGAATGCTTTACAAGGAGTTACTAAAATTTGCTTATAATCTATGGAAAGTAAGAGTAAGTTGTTAGACAAAAGGATTTTTGGGTTAATAATGCAAATTGATCTGAAGTTTTCTTAAAATCAAATTAGGATCTAGTCAAATCAAGCGTATCAAACATTATAAGTTATATTGATGGCAGAGATAGTGAAGCAAGTGATATTTCGATAGACCCAGTCAAACAATCTCCAAAAAAATCAAGGGCCGGAAAGTCATAGCTGTATTGCTTTGAACTTTTTTCCTCTAGCACTACTATTAATCGGGATGTCATTATAAAGTTAATTTTCAATGAGCCTTTCTTAATTTCTTCTGGAGAAGCATCAGGACTTATTTCTAACGTCTCATAAGGATCGGTTGAACTAAACTCAGCAAAACTAATATCTACTATTTTACATGTTTATTTTTTATGTAATTAATAAAATATTTGCTTACGAAAGTAATATAGCTGGTTGTGCAATTTTATTAACCACATGTTAATGCCTGTATATGGCCTGAGTCCTGAGATGGTTATTGTACAACCGGGCAGTGCGACAGGAAAATATTCGTTTTTCTAACAAATTTTTTATAATTCTTTCTTACTCAAATATGCAAACAGGACATATTATTATAACGTCTAAGACATATTAATTAGTAGATTATATCGTCCTAGGACATATTAGTCTTGAACAAGTAGTGTCCTAAGACATATTAATATATTAATATATTAATATGTCTTAGGACACTACTCCTCAAACTGAGGTATTATTTAAAATAAAAAAAAAACAAAAAATATTTATAAATTATTAATATCTTGGTAATAGTAAACGAACTAACCCTTAAAGCATACATAAGGTAGATATAATAAGTGTAAATGTTTTTAAGTATTTATATATTTTTTATTTATTTATTTACAGAACTTTGTAATTCCATCTAATGAACTATTGAGGAATTGTAATTTATTGTGGGTCATAATGAATTTGATGCGTTTTGGATGGAAATGCAAAATTGCATTAGATTATATTTGGCTTCCCGATTTCTAGAACATAGTTTTTATACAATAACCTTTTAATTAGTGATTGTCAAAATCTTTCTTACGAGTCATTAAAAATATTAAATATGTTGTATTTTTAATAAACTAATTGATTTTAAAGCTTAATCGCCACAGAATTAAACAGGTGCATTAAAATCGATATCAAATTGGGGTGCGCGGTCAACTAATTATATATGGTATCATATAAAAAAAATTAGATTTTTCATGTATTCACGTGCTTTTTTTTCTACGAATTAATTCATTTAAATAATATAAAAGATTAAACAAATACACAATAACCTAAAATAATGTGACACCTCACTTTCTTGTGGAAAAACCAAACAGGCTATGATTTATAATATTTTTAATATTTTGTAGAATTTAGAACATAAAGAGTTTAAAGTTATGGAATTATGAAAATACAGTAGTACATCCGATTTTATCGATTTAGTAAATGCATACCCCGGTGTCACATGATATCACTGAATTTGTTAACCACTCGCAGAATTTACCGCAGAAAATCATTGTATTTTCACATGGCAAATGCATGATTAATGATAATATTAATATTCTCTTATGTTTCATAGTTTTCTAGTTTTCTTTATTAACCATTGTGGTTTAATAGGATTTATCACACTTTTAAACCATACCAATTCACAATCATTTTTTGCTTTAATCTGATTTACGTTCACGATGTTAATGGAGGTAAGATCTAGATTGTTTAAATTTAAATGTATATAACGCGATCTTTTAACATTAATTCGTTTATTTTGTAGATCATAAGTTTCTTCCTTTCTCCGCTTTCTTATCTCTTTGAACCTTACTTTAGTCGTGCTACTAATGTATTCACGTCGCGAAAAACCCAACGTACAGCTGTAAAATCGATTTTTATATTTCTTCTTGTTGTAATTTTAGTTACTATTGCATTTCTAGCATACTTGGGTTTTTACATGATTTATGTCCCCAAAATTGCTCATGTAAAACCCATTTATTTGCAATACGAGTAAGTTTATAGATCATATATAAGGTTATTGAAAATTTGTAATCATGCTAAAGGTTTTTCTCCTAAACAATATTTTCAGAAATGACAAACCTCCGTATGCAATAGTAGATTTCACAGAAAATGGCCAATACGATGCTGTATGTTAATTTATATATATATATATTGATCTTTTTGCTGTGTTTACGTTTAAGTTATTAAGCCATCTTTCCTTCCTTAGCTGTTAACAGCGGATCAAGCATATGATGTTTCAATTGATTTATATGTTCCTAATTCAGATAGGAATATTGCATTAGGTTAGTGAATATTTATATTAATACAAGCATGTTATTTTTATTAAAATTAATCATTATTTTTGTGGGATGGTAACTTTAATTAATTCTAGTTGTATATGATTCACCGTTTAGGTAACTTTATGATCGGTTTAGGATTAAGGGCCAAGAATGAGACGGTGCAATTTTCAAGTCGTCCGGTAGGTTTTTTTTAAAATCAAAAATTTTTTTATTTGAAAATGATCTATTTCAATAATCTTTATCTTAACTAGTGCATCCTTACATATCAATCGGGCATGCTTCGCGTCTTTTCCACTTTATGGCGATTAATTCCTTTGGTGTTAGGTTTCACAAAAGAAGATCAAAAACTAAAAATAGTTATGCTGGAAAATATGATTGAGAGTGAAGTAAGTCTTATATAAGTAAATTTTGTATAACTTGTTTATTTAATACATGCAAATTGATTTGGTCTATTTTAATTATTTAGGAAAAGCCAATTACAGAAGCATTGATCACCATATCAAACAGTCATCTTGAGGTATATAACGCTCATATTCGATTGGATGCTCACTTCAGAGGCTTGCGGTATTTATTAAGATTAATTCATCAAAATAATTTTTAAATTTAAGTTCAAATTAAAATTTAATTTTAAATTTTCTATTACAGATACTTTATGTATTACCATCCGATCCCCACTGCAATTACTTTCATGTCCATGTTTCTCACATGGGAAATATTATTTTCAATTTTTGCATGGAGGTCATTTGTCTCATGGTGGAAAAACAAAGCAGTTGCTATGCAGAACGCTCCAATCATATCTGAAGGCGAGGTCGGAACAAGCAATAATACTGATGAAAATCAAGATGAAGATTCGGATAGAACGTGGTTGGAAGTTGGTCGACTTGGTGATACCGTAGAAAGAAACACGAATGATAATGAAACTTCGGAGAGCGAATATGAATCAGTAAGTAATTTACGTGATATAATTTTTGATAAACTGTATTAATATCATTAACTAATTCAATTTTAATTTAAAGTCCCGTCCTGGTTCTGTAATTTCACCTGCGGGTACAGCGTTAGTTTCCGAAGCTGGGGACACGAATTACAATACAGAATCATATATCACAGATGATGATGATTCACAATCACAATCACATAGTACCGTTTCACGAACTTTAGATGACAATGACGATACGGCATCAACAGAGAGTGATGATCAATTTGATGATGACGACCAAACAGAAGGAAGTGCTACACCAACTTCTCGAAGTCGAAGAAGTACAACATCTGCTGAAGCATCAACAAATGAATCAGAATTAGACGATAGACCTAGTTCTAGTATTTCAACGGCGGTATTACAGTCCAGATCGCCTAATAGAAGGACTGGTTATTAACTTGAGAAAAAGAATTAATGAATTATCAATAAATTCTTTTTATTATTTTCGATTTTTGTTTAGCGTCCTTTCCTTATAATCATTTCGTTAAACTTAATTTATACATGTATACATACATAATCAGCAACTCATTTTTCTCTTGAAATATTGACGTAAATTATAATCATTATTATAACTTTTTTTAATTTTAAATATACCATTATTGTTTTTTCATTATTTTCATTATTTCATAGTAATACAAAATAAATTGTGATAAGATCAATATCTTAAACAAAGAATTTACTACTAAAGAAACTCTCAAATGGCCTGAAATGTGACATTAATGGAAGTTTTGGTTTTATAAAAACATTGGATGATATGTTTGCAGTAGGATTCGTTAGACTACAAAAAGAAAAGGTGGGTTAAAAAGTATACGATCATTGATTAAAGGTGTTCATAATTGTATACATACGTGGTAAAATGTTCTTTTCTCAACCATCTACCATTTAATTTTCTAGCAGTTTTCGCATTAGTTCTAGTACGCTGACCTCTTACGGGATAACCCATAGCATGTCGTTTACCTTTATAATCACCAATTGTTCTATGATGTAAAATATTATTTTTTACTTTACGACGTAAATCACTTTCTAAAGTCATATTTGATAATTCTAAGGAAATTGTGTTTAATTGAGATTCTGATAGATCAGAAACTTTACATGAATTATGAATTGAGAATTTACTACATATTTGTTGTGCTGTTTTAGGTCCTATTCCATAAAAATAAGTTAGAGCAATCTAAGGAAGATATTTTTTTTTGTTAATTGTAATAAAAATTTGATGTGAATAATAATAGATAGAAGTAAGTACTCACTCTAAAAAGCTTTTTATCAGGTAAATTAACACCTAGAAGTAAAACTGTCATTATAAAATGCAAAAACCGAGAATTGTTTTTTTTTTTAGAAACTTTTTTTTTTATGATATCGATGGAATCTGATTGGCTTATAAAATATTCGCAACTTAAATTTCATATAAAAATTCAAAAATTAGAACTTTTTTTTTTTATTACAGTATAATAATTATTTAATCGTTATATACATATGCGCCAAAATCTGCACTGTTTTTCATAATTT